CCCCAAAACCCCAAAACCCCAAAACCCCAAAACCCCAAAACCCCAAAACCCCAAAACCCCAAAATTTAAATTAGCAATTATATTTTTATAAAAATGGAGCATCAAGATGTAAGTTCTGAAAGAAATATTATATAGCCAAATGAGTCCCTCGAAGCAGAGAATGAAGGCGAGATGGTCGAGATGGACCCAGAAGTAGCAAACCAGAACCTCCTCCAAGCTTGTAAAGACAATGATGAAGAAACTGCTTTGGAATATTTGGAAGGCAAAGAAATTAACGCTTCTTATGAAAGCGAGGATAAATGGACCCCTCTTTCCTGGGTTTGCTGTAACGGAAATGATAAGCTAGCCCATATTTTACTCAAAGAGCACGGAGCTGCTAGTATGTATATTAAGGATAAGGAAGAAAAGGAGGAAGAAGAGGACTCAGATCCTTTCAAGAAGCCAGAAGATGCTAAAGAAGTTGGAAGGTATACTCCTCTACACTGGGCTTCTTATAAAGGACACTTCAGAATTGTCTGGCTCTTGCTAAAAGAAGGCCTATCCCCTCTTGATATTGACGTCTTTGGAAATACAGCTGTCCATCAAGCTGCTGCTTCAGGAAATCTACCTGTGCTAGAATGCTATCTCTCGAGAGGAGTAGATATGGAGCTTAAGAATTCGAGAGGCCATACTGCTTATGACCTCGCCACTACTAAAGAGGTGAAAGATATTATCAATGAGGCTATTGCAACTGAAAGATGAGTTTCATGACATTCAGTTTTTGATTTTAAGAATATCAGATATTACTGTATAACCTGTAAAAGATTTTATTGAACAAAATGCTCTAATACTTTATGGGAGTATGATACAGCTGAGTCTGAACACCAAGAGAAACCTGTCTGCAGATGCAACTCGTGTGATGACAAGAAAAAAAAAGGAGAAAGATCCATGAAAGAAGCCATGGACACCATGAACTTCGAGACTGTTGACGAAGTTCTATCTGAGTTAAGAACTAAAAATCTTGATTTAGACGTTAAATTAATGAAAGCAGCTGAAGTTTTGCACCTCAAGCTTGACAAACAAAAGGACATTAATGAGTTTATTGCTTCCCTGGCCCATGTTCCAAACTACAAGACGATCAAGAAGTCTGTTTCGATCCTTGAAGAAAAAGTAAAGAAGGCCAAGGAACTCAATGTTGACATCGACCAAGAGGTTCTAGATAAAGTCAATGCAAATATTGGAAGACTCATTGCTGAGAGAAATCTCCAATTCCAGATGGAGAAAGTTAGAGTGTTCGACTCTGGCCACGAGGATGTAAGGACCCTAGAAGACCTTATTCATATTGCTAAGGCAACCGGAGTTGCTTCAGAATACACTGATAGAGCAGATATATACCTTGACAAGATGAAGAGAAATATTCGTGCCCGAGAGATCCTAGATCTTCTTGAAGCTTATCCTCCAAGAGAGTACCCTGAGGTAGAGGAACCAGACCCAAAGAAGAAGGGTGGAAGACAAGAAGCACCACCTCCAAAGAAGAAGAAAAAGAAGGGAAAGAAAGTAGTATTCGATACTCCTGACTGGTGTACGAACCTGGATAACCTCAAGGAAGAAGTTAAGAACCTTGAAGGGCTTGTACAGGATGCTGAGAACCTTGAACTTGACGATACCTTCACAGAAAGAACAGTAGTAGTCTTTGAAAGATTCAAGAAGAAGGAAATTCCATTCAGAGAGGAGGAGCTCAGGATTGAAGCTGAGAAAGAAGCCTTAAAAAAGGCCAAAAAGGCAGCAAAGAAGAAGAATTAGCATACTCGTTATTCAGAACTTCTCTGACTTTTCAGTTTTATTTTATGAAAATGGGGTTTTGGGGTTTTGGGGTTTTGGGGTTTTGGGG